GGCATGATAGTGCATTCCTGTAATCCCAACACTCTAGGAGGCTAAAGCAGGAGGACTGTAAGTTTGAGGCCAGCCTGGACAATTTAGCGACATAGCAAAAACCTCTCAAAGAATATTCTAAAAGAGCTGAGGATGTAGCTTACTATGAAGGTACCAGATTCAATCCCTAGTACAAAAAGAAGGAAAAGAGAGGGGTAGAGAGGAGGGAAAGGAAAATGAAAGGGAAGGAAAGAAAGAAAAATTTCAGATAAGACTATAAAAGGCTATTGGAAAACAATGGTGGAGGCAAAAGTAGCAGTTAAATTGCCAGTGCAGGGAGCCTGACAGACACTCATATGTGGGCGGGCATAACTACACCATACATTTGCCAGAGAAGCCTGTGGAAATGGTGCCTGGTAAGGAGCAAGCAATTAAATGTCCTTGGTTGCCAAAGAAACAGGCTGTTTTCTGCAGGCCTGCAATTTGGAGCAAAGTAGGAGGTACTTATCCAGACTACTGCATCCTAATTTTTCCCATCATAAAGAATATCTATTATGTTTCCAATACATTATAAAATAAAATTAAACTTGGTCTCTGATAAAAAACCAATATCAGCTATGAACTATCTCTGGAAGTGATTGTTTTGAGCATATTTTCCAAAGATGAGCACCAGAGTATCTCCCATCCCACATGATCATAGGAATTTATTTCTTTGACCCACTGAATTTGGGTTGGCCTAACTGCTTTGACCAACAGCATATATCAGAAAAGTAATGCAATGCCAATTCAGGGCATGATCCTTAATTGGCCTGGCACTTCCAACCCTGGAAGATGTTCACCCTTGGGCCTACCCCCTCTTCAAACCCAGCTGCCATGCTGAGATGCCTAAGCCACAGGGAGAGGCTACCTCCGAGCACTCTGGCTGACAGCCGCAGTTAAGCTCCCAGCCAACAGCCAGCTTCTCTGATAGCCAAGTAAATGGGCCATCTTGAACCTCTGGTCATTGAGTCCTAGGTAACTAGCCCTGGCTGACACTGTACCACAACAGCACAGCAGATCCCAGGTGAAAACTGTCCATTGACAATGAGTCAACCCACAGAAGGACCGCATGGAAGATTCAGCCAGAGAACCTCTAGTAAACTCAAGTCATAGGACTATGACACTTAATAATAACTTACTGTTTAGGTCACTAAATTTTGGGGAGTTTGTTACAGCAGCAATAAGTAACTGTAACATTATCCATCATAACAACTAAACTGACTTAAAATATATTCTAAGAGAATATATTTAGAGAACATTTCACATACACAAAATTAGAAATACAGGCAGCATCAATACTCAGGCAGAGACAGGCTGGGTTAATCCACTTGGCCACACTTGATTTCTTCTCTCTAGGTTACAGGAAGAAAACTATGCTTCATCTATGTCTTTCAGAGTGCTGCTGAAGCTAGTTTTCTAAAAAGCACAAAAGTTCCCAACAATACCAACAATGAAAATAAACTTAAATGCTTAAAAGAACAACACTATTAATATGCACAACCACCCAACTGTGGCTTAATTTATCAGAGATCAGGGAGGAGAACAATGTACTGTCAGAGCTTAGGAGGTCACAGGAAAAGGGATCATTAATCACATGACTCATCTGAGCTTCTGGATACGAGTTCAAAGGGGCTAACTAAGCCCCCTTTCAGAGGCAGGTCATTTAATAAAATCACATTACTTGGTCTGCACTGAGGGAATGTCAAAAATAAAGTTTATTGTGTGTGACGCCACTTTAAATATCAAGTAAGTGTTTCTTTTTTGTCTTTCTTCAATATTGAGCATGCAAAAGAATATTTATAAAATGTGTCAGGTATAAAGAGTGATATAACAAATGCCTATGCACCCACCACCTAATCCAAAAAAAAATTCTATGATTACTCTGGAATCTCCTGTGTGCCCCTCCCTGATCCAAACCTTCTCTACTTTCCATTCAGGGGCTATCATCACCCTGAAATTTATGTTTGTCATTTTCTTTCTTTTTCAGAAATTCACTTTTCCACATTTATATTCTTAAAAACGCACTGTTTAGGTCTACATATTTGGGAACTCAAAATAAATGGAATTATACTGTTGACGTTCTTCAACTTGCTTTTTCCACCTATGGGCAGCTACGGCCCATTCTTTTTCATTGCTGTATAGTTTGGCTGGAATTTCAGAACTGATTTATGCTCTGCATGAGTTCCCATGTTTCCCAGACCCGGACCGTACCTACTGTAGTTCAGCCAGTAATTTTTCCCAAGTGGGAAATGTACTTTCAAATCAGGATATATTTGCTTCTCCTTAGACTTCTCAACTCATTCATACAGGTTGAGCATACCAAATCTGAAAATCTGAAATGCTCCAAAACTCAAAATGTTTTGGGTATCATGTTGGTACTGCAAAATTTTCAGATTTCAGACTGTCAGATCAGGGATCTTCAACTATAAACTCTATGCAAACATTGCAAAGTCTGAAAAATTACAAAATGTGAGACTTTTCTGGTCCCAAGCAACCTGAATGGACTAAGACAGAACCACTATGAGCACCTGCTGATTAAGAGGACATCAAGACAGTACCCACCCTAAGGCAGTGTAGCAGGAGACCATTAAGTGAACATAAAATGCTGATTTGGAACAATGAGGCATGGATCAGTGTAGCCTGCCCTCTCACTTCATGCAGGACTCTGCTCAAACATCACCTCCTCAAAAAAGCCTTTCCTGACTACCTTATCTAGCTACTCCCCTTCTACCATCCTCTATTATCTGCTCTGCTTTAATTTTTTAGCATAACATTTATCACCACCTGATGTGCTTGCTGTTCATTATCACACAGCCTCCATGAAGGCAGAGACATTTGCTATATTCATCACCGCATCCTCAGCCCTCAGAAGAGTGCTGGATACAAAGCAGGCGCCATATGGTATTTTGGAGGGAATGAACGATGGAGATAAGCATGTGATGCTATGTGAGCAGAAAGAAAGGAGGCAAACTTAGTTTAGGCTGGTTCTAGAGTTTGAGCTGAGTCCTGGGCAGCCCTTTGGACTGGGGACTGTACTGTTCTCCACCATGTACCTGGCTCCTTCCCACCTCACTTAGGTTCTTTGAAGTGAAGCCTGTTCCCACTCACTTTGGGATTCTCTGAGGCATTTGGCACAGCGACTTACATTCAGTTTTCCTACAAATATTTAAAGCATCTACTGTGTGCCTATTATTTTAGTGTGTAAAATAATGTTTCCTCTATATTGAACTGCATAGAAAGTCTTGGATTCTATTCAAGTCTCTTTGAAAACAGAGGGCTTTTATATAAAAGTTACAGAAATATAATCTTTCTTAAGATTTTCAAATTCAAAGAAATAGCACAGAGCCAACTGTGAGCTTGCTTCCGAGAACCTAATTCTCATCTCTACAGAAGGCAACAACTCCCTTGCCTATCGAGTGAAATTTACAACCACAATGATGAGACTTGCAAGTTCCTATCTGTGTGGGAACAACTGGTTAATACCCAGGAAAAGAGAAAATAAAAGCTGGAAAAGTCCCAGTATGCATCAAACTTTTCTATTAATGTGAACATTCCAAATTAATACCAGAATAGTGACATGTGGACAGAAGCTGAAAAAGCTAAGAAATAAGATCACTTTAGGCATTACTAACTACTAAGGCCTGGGCTTGAAGACGTGAGGCTGAATCCATCACTTACATTCCTCCCTGGGCGACAAGGTACTGTTCTTCTAGAGGATTGTCAGTGTTAGTGATACTCAACCCTTACTCTCTTGATGGTAATATAAGGAGATTAGAAAAATAAGACCAAATATTAGTCAAATCATCCCAAGATATCATAATGTTTTAAATAAATATATTATGTTAGAGACAAAGAGAAGACAAGAGTAAAGAGGTCTCATAATTATTTTAACAAGGTTGCAAGAAAGCAATACCATAACTACAGACAAGCAAAACCAGCATAGAAAGGATACCATGAACTAAAAAAAATAAAAATTTATAAACATGTTATTAATTCACCATGGAAGGACATTCTTTATGGGGGGCAGACATGTCAATAAAAGGTATCAGTATGTGTATAAAAACCATAGTGATTGGGGCCGGGGATTTAGCTCAGTGGTTCTGCCACCTGCCTCACAAGTGCAAGGTCCCGAGTTCAATCCCCGGTACCAAAAAAAACCCACAAAAAAACAAAACCAAAAACCAAAAACCATAGTGATCTCTGAGAATGATACCGAACACTGTTAGAACAAAACACATTAGAAATAACAGCTGATGTCACCTTGAACTATTTTAAACAAATTCTCAATTGTTCATTAAATCTGACATCTTATGTTCTCTGAACCAAACTAATGCACTAAACATGGTTTAGTGTATATGATTCTCAATATATAAAAACTTTGCTGTTTTCCGAAATTAATTAAATCCTATTTCACTTCCTCACTATTCTTGAATATATTTCCACTGTACAGGGATTGAACCCAGTGCCTTCTTACTGAACTCCATCTGGCCCCTTTTTACTTTTTCTTTTTAATTTTGAAACACTGTCTCTCTATGTTGCTAAATTGCCCAAGCTGGACTTGAACTTGTGATCTTCCTCTGCCTCCCAGAGTGCTGGGATTACAGGTGAGTGCTGCCATGCCTAGCTTTACTACTAGTAAAATATCTTCATGATTTAAGATAGTAGCCACAGAATTATTGTAAATTTTCTTTTTGTTACATGGTATCATTTCCTAAGAAAAAAATTTATTTGGTTTCTTAAAAAAACATATTGCTGATCATGGCTGACAGGTTATTATTGTCTCTCTGTTACAGAGACAGACAATGGCCCATCATTTACCTAAAAGACACACAGAGTCAATGCCAGTATTTCTCCTGCTCCCAAATTCTGCTTGGCCATGGCTTACAGGGAATCAGGAGTTACAATTTTGGATGGCACCAAGCCCCACCAAATCAGCTCTTAATTGTCAGACAATAAATCTGGCAAAGAGGAGAGATGCTTACTTAGATATCACAGGAGAAGATGACCTCTTAGGAATGCCTCCAGGAAGCTCGCAACTTCTCAGTGGGGACCCAAGGCCCCCAGTGGGAACAGAAGTTGTCACTCGTTGCCCCCTCTTCACTTTCTCTGTCTGTAGGGGAAACAGAATAGGGTAGTCACAGCCTATGACTGGTATTACTACTACAATTTCTAAAAAGTCCGAGATGGAAGTGATGTACAGCTTTAAGGGGGATCAATACAAAGCTATAATGCTTCATGTGATGAGAAAATTTGTAAAGAGATACCATGGGGTCATCACATTTAGGTCATCCAGCAAAAATAATAACAATTTTCGACCTCAACATGTACATATTTCCTTCCTTGTTATGGTCGTGGACATATAGAAACTGGAAAGAGTACAAAGACACATGCTCACTGCAAAAGATTATAGGTAAATAAGAATGTGGTTATAACATCCAAGACGGCAAGCTGTAGATTCTGATAGCATAACAGGGACTGTAACCCACTCATTTCTCTATCGGCAGAAGGGAGAAGGGAATAGACATCAGTGTCAGGGCTGCAGAAAGTGCTCCACAAGGATTAGTTCTCTTCTTTATCATACTTTTCTGTAACAAATCCTCATTTGGACCCCACATCCAAAAATGTCAGCCCCCTTCTATAATAATCCATCCTACAGCAAAATCCAAGAGTTAGAAACATCATGTCTCTTTTAAGAACCTCAGGGACGTAACGAATATGAACAGAAAGTATGTTATAAAATGCCCAACAGGGCTGGAAATATAGCTTGGTGTTGGAGTGCTTGCCTAGAATGAGGGAGGCTCTGGGTCTGATCCCTAGTAGTACCAAAAAAGTGCCCCATAGGCCTCTCTAAGCTACTTTGCTTTGGGAGTGCCACCTGGCCAGACTAAGGTCTGTTTTACTTTCCAACTTGTCCGGTGTGTTCCTTCCTGGGTGTTCTTCGCTGCAGTCAGCTCCTCAGAGCATTTGGTAAGGCCCTCGGTCTTACATTTTGAAGGCACCGCTGGGATCCCCGGGTTTCCTTCGCTGCAGTCAGCTCCTCGGAGTGTTTGGTAAGGCCCTCGGTCTTACAGTACGTATCTATATTTATACTAGATAATTTCTACATGTATAAAATATTTGAGAATTTTAATTGAAAGGAACGATCTTCACTTCTAATTTTTGCTTTTCTTTTTAGTCCTTATACAGGTTGCATTTCAGAGTAATTGTGGCTTCATGGAATGAGCTTCAAAGTGTTCCTATCCTTTCAATTACTTGAAAAATTTTGAGCAGCATTTGTGTTCAATTTTCTCTAGTGTTCTAGTAAAACTGAGGTGTAAACACATCAGGGTATGTGCTTTCTTGGTTGGTAGCATTATTGCTATATCAATTTCCTTGCTTGTTAGTGGTCTGTTCATGTTTTTATTTTCTTCAAATTTAATAAGTTATATGTGTGCATACATTTATTTTCTTCTTCCAAATTCTCTGATTTATTGGAATATAAGTTTTCAAAAGTGTTTCTAATAATTCTCTTGGTTACTGCGTTGTCTGTTGTAACTTAATATTTTTATTTCTAATTTTAATGGTATAGGTATTCTCTCCCTTTTTAGGGTGAGTTTGGCTTATGGTTTTTCAATCTTATGTGTTCTTTCAAAGTAACAGCCCTGATTTAATGATTTATTTTATATTTTAGTCTCAATTTCATTAATATCCACACAAAGGTGGATAATTTCTTTGTTCTCATTTTGGACTTTCTTTTTTTCTTGTTCTCCTAGGATTTTGAGATGTTATCATTAGGTTATTTACTAGAGATTACTCTTTTCTTCTAATGTAGACACTCACAAATATAAAATTAATTCCTTTTGAAACTATTGTTATGGGTGTCCCACTATTGCAGATAGTTGAGTTAATTAGATATCTTGTAGGCACTTAGACAGGGCCAGGCCAGGAGGAGCCAACAAGGAGGACAGTCAAGGAGCCATCATGGCGGACAGTAAAGACACATTCACTGAAGGCTAGCATTATAAAAGGAAACTACCATACCCATTAGGATGAATAGCAGTGATTGATATTCTAAGTAGGTATCAATCACCTGGGTGGGGGACCAAGGTCTTAACCCAGCCTCTCCAGGAAATATCCCTGACCCGCCCTTACTGAAAATCATAGTTTGCTTGCTAGGTGACTTGCTCCCCCATTCGACCCCATTTATTCAATATTACCTGGGTGACTGTACTTGTAATCTTATTGGTTGGGCATGGTTTTGCCCCACCTTGTAAATTTCCATTGGGTCTTATAGTTTTGTCCCACTTTGTACCCGCCTCACCACATGGCTTTGCTGTATAAAACATCCTTGAAAAGTGGGGTGGACAGGCAACCCACTTTCAGGTCCCCTTTCTGTCTCTTTTAGACAGAAGCTTTCTTTCTCCCAATAAACTTTTCCTACTCTTAACTTCCATTGTTAATAGAATTCATTCTTTGATTTTAGAGAACATGGACTAGTGTTTTGGATATCCAGCAGTCTTGGAGTTACATCTCTCCCCCCATATCACCACAAATTTTGATATGCTCTATTTTCATTTTCTTTTGTTTCTGAAAATTTTTCAGTTTAATTTGTGATTTCTTCTGTGACTGTTAGCCAACCTACAATGTATCTTTCAATCCCCATATATTTGTGTAATTTCTGCAGTTTATTTGCTGTTGAGTTCCAGTTTCAAGTCACTATGACCTGAATGGATGGAAGGAGTTTTTTCATTTCTTTTTTGTAATTATAAAAACATGCATTATGTCTGAAAACATCCTCTGTTTTGAATAAAATTTCATGGTCTGATGAAAAAAAAAAGCCCCATAGTGAAGTAATGCAGTAGTTTTAACATAGGTTTGCATATTATCTGATATACTTCTCTTTAAAAGTAGAGCTTTAAAGCTCAAGGTCCTGAGTTCAATCCCCGGTACCAAAAAAAAAAAAAAAAAGGAGAGCTTAAACTTCCCTCCCCTCGAGAGTAGATTGATCTTTGTGACTTGCTTCTGATTAACAACATGTGGCACAAGAGACAAGTTGGGCATAAAAGGCATTGCAGCTTCTCTCTAGTGCTTGCTCTCGGATTGCTTGCCCTGGGAGAAGCCAGCTGCCATGTCATGTAGGTACTCCAGCAACTTCACAGAGAGGCTCACATAGTGAGGAACTGAGGCCTCCTGGCAGCAGCCATGTGATGAACATCTCAGAAGAAGTCCAGTACAGCTTTCAGATGATGCAGCCCCAGCCAGCATCTTGACTACACCATCATGAAAGACCCTGTACCAGAAAGGCCTAGCTAACACTCTGAATTTCAGACCCAAAAAACCCCATGAGATAAGAAATATTTGTTTTAAGCTGGCAAGGTTTGGAGTAATTCACTTTGTAGCAAATAATAACATAAGTAGTATGGCATATATAATTTCTAAATAAATACACAAAATTGGGGGTACCTGTTCAACATGTATTTTACTGTTGGTATCCTGAAATATTTTAAGGCTGCAGTTATGGGTGGTGGTTGACCTAGAACCTCAGTTCTAGTTACCCAAATAGGCAAGACTTGCTCAGAATCTGATATTCTTGAAGAAGCAGGGAGAAGACACTTGAAACACTCCGTCTGACTCCTGTCCTTTGGAGGGCAGGCTATAAGAAGGATGTCATTAGGAATTTTCTACCAACATTAAGATTTAAGGTTATGCAAAAAGTTAAATGATTTCCAAAAGCTGGGTAAATTTAAAACTAAATCTGCCCCTCGAGCTGTCACTGAAGACTGACAGAAATGCAGATTCCAGGTCAGGTGCAGAAAGTAATCAGAGTCCACAGAAGTGAGTGGGTTTTAACCTACCGGAGAGGCCTCTGCTCCTGCAGGGGCTCCTTTCCCAGCATCTCCTACACCAGAGGTAAGTGGAGCCTTCTTCCTCTTGATGGTTCGGGTGGGAGAAGAGTTGAACGAAGATTTAAGGGGGCCAGCGGGAGCTACATGAGGACAGGCATGGAATACTAGAGAGTTACAATATAACAGCCAAAAAGACAGGAAGTGCAAGGAGAGAGGAAGTTGGGAAGAACACAACACTTCTACTAAAATTTAACACGGACAACCTACGTTCTCAAAATACTTTTTCTATTGTACACAGAATGAATCTCATCTAAAAAGGCTCCCAGGGCCGGGGATTTAGCTCAGTGGTTCCGGTGCCTGCCTCGCAAGCACAAGGTCCCGAGTTCCATCCCCGGTACCAAAAAAAATTAAAAAATAAATGAAAAAATAAAATAAAATAAAAAGGCTTCCCAGACTCAAGAGTTCAGTTCATTTCAGAAGTTAAAAGTCTGTACTCTGGAGCCAGACAGATCAGATCTTGCACTGCTACCTAATAGCTAGATCACCTTGGACAGGTTACTTAACTTCTCTAAATCTCAGTTTCCTTATGGAGTCAACATAGCTGACCTGACTAATGTTCTTGGAAGAGCCTGCTTACAAGGTTGGTCCTTGGCTGGTATCTAGATTTCAGGAAGGTTCCTGCTTTTAACCAGTGAGTACTTAAACTGTTTCTACAAATAATACCATACGTTTTAGTGGTCTGGAATTTGGGTGTGTGCCTGGCAGTGGCTCCCTAACACGATGACCTCAGTAAAAACTCCGGGTGTTGTTTCTAAATAGAGTCCTAAGTTGTCAATATTTCACATGTGTTGTCATAATATTTGCTTAGGGAACTAAGCACATTATGTGTGACTCACTAGGAGAGGACCCTTGGAAATTTGTACTTTGTTTTCCTTTAGATTTCTCCCCATGTACTTCTTCCCTTTGCTACTTGTATGCACCCTAATATAGTAAACTGTAATCATAAGTAGAACTATGCTGAGTCCTCTGAGTTCTACTTTCTCCTGGTGAGTAAGTCATCAAACCTTGGAGAGGCTTAGGGAACCTCAGACAACTGTTATCAGAAGTGGGAATCACTAGAATGACCCTGATTCACTGAAATGTGGTAAAAAGCATCGTATGGGAAGAGGCAGGATAAAAGGGTGAAGAATGGTGAATCTATACTGTGTAGGTGGCTATGGAGTCACCCATGGTATGAACCAGCAGCCAAGTTGCTGTCTGTGGTAAGAGGTGAAAGTTGCCTATAGAATCTGAAGATGACCATAAGAGAGTTGGCTTGATGGATTCCTTGGCTGCTTTTGGCCATGTTAGTGAGGGAAAATGAGCAGCTGAGGCATGCTTTGGGCTTGTTTGCTCCTCCAAGTTGAAGTGGGAAATAACCTTGATTTCTGTCATCAGTAGGTGGAATAAGTCTCTATAACTGGACATTTTTATCTAATTGGAGACTCTGGAAAAGGGGAAATGTGAAAATGGTTTCTCAGTTATCCTTATTTTCACCCTTAAAGACAAATTCATCTTTACAATCATTTTTTTTATATTGGGGCTTGAACCCAGGCCCTTCATGCTGAACTACATCCCCAGTCCAGACAGAGATACACAGTACTTTGGAGTTTTAAAATTCAACTGGTACAAATATAGAGCATTTTTCCATGGGGCCCTACTCTGAAAATATCCTGAATAATGCTGGACCATCTGGGTCACACACAAGTACCCACAGAGCTTATTCTGTGATGGGAGCATTCAATATCAAGGTGCTCCTTGGCTCTATATTTCTGATGCAGAGCCTGGATGCCTTCCCAACTTGTGAGCCTGTAAAAAGCTGCAGGTTGGGAAAAGTTGGCAATGTGACCCCGTCAGCCACTCCTGACTCCATTCGCTCTAGGGGATGTGTCACTGCTGTTGGCTTGTGATTTTCCAAAGTAGTTTCAGCTTAGAACAATGGCCTGGGAACCTGACTCCACTCACTTTTCTCCCAGTACACACCTCAGTAAAGCAATTTGTTAGATACAGCTATCATGGGAAAGAGACTTACCATTTTTAGACTGCTCACTGGATAAATGACCAAGAAAAAATGAATCAAAGGTAATATAAACCTATTTTGAAAATTTATGTCCTAATGCTTAAACATGACATGTCTTTCTGATTGAGTAAGATTAAAAAGGTCTTTTTTAGCCAGGAATGATGGTACATGCCTATAATCTCAGAACTTTGAGAGGCTGAGGTAGGAAAACCGCAAGTTTGAGCCCAGCCTGGGCAAATTTGCAACTTGGTGAGATCCTGTCTTAAAATAAAAAATAAAGGGCTGGGGATATAGCTCAGTGTGAAGGCCGTGGGCTAAAGCCCCAATACAAAAAAAAGAAAAAAAAGCCTGCCTTGCAAGCACAACATCCCGAGTTCGATCTCCGGTACCAAAAAAACCCTGCAAAATTGATTTTGTCTTTAAGAGTGAGAGTAGCGGTGATTGAGAAAATTTAAAGTTTTGTTTGCTGAATGGAACATAAAGACATATACTAAACCCAAGCACCTGGGAGGGTACAAAGGGGATACTGTTACAAAGACCTTTGTTATCTTTGTTTTCCAGAACTGCTCCTGGAATCCCACTCCTCTTCCAGAAGGAAAACTCCCTCTGCTGTCTGTATAAGCTGGTATGAGCATAGACTGCTGAACCTAGATGGCACACAACAGCACGACTCAGCAGGAGTGGGCCAGCTCCTGCAAGGTCTCTGCAAAATACCTCCAGATGCCATCCATGCTTGCTAGGATGAACTAGTTTGGGACTGACAGCCTCAGGAAGCCCCTCTGGAACCATGGATTGAACTAAACACACACTGGACTGAGCAACCTGGAGGAAGAGACAACACAGTTGGGGAGGCCACAGTAGAGGCCACTTGCCCAGCAGCATATCAGCTCAGTGTACCCTAACATCATCAGCTTTTGGTCTCCAGGGAACCATGAGAGCCCTAGAGGATTGCATTTCTTGTGTGTGTCTCCTAACTATCAAAACATTGCCTTAGCCCTGGAAGATGTTCAGTTTACTGGCCAGAGCTGTGCAGGGCCTAGGTAAAAAAGATCCATAAAGAACTAACAAAGGAAGCCACCTGGTTACCTAAGATAGACCCTTATGGTTAATGGGATTTACTTTAACTGCTAAGTCCAGGATTCCTGAAGGGCCTAAGTGAGATCAACACTTCAGGTTGGTGTCATCCTGCTGTTTCAGGTCTTACTGGTAATTCTTCTGTAAAGAAACCTTGGCAATGTGTCATGGGGGTGGACTGTGTAGAAAAGGAGTTAAAAATAGGAGACCTGACTGCTCTCCTTGGGAGGGCCTATCTACAAGGTTGGCCCTTGGCCAGGATCTGGGGACTTATATTTTGGCAGTGCTCCCTCCTTTAGCTGACAAGTGGCTCACTGTGCCTAAACTGCTTGTACAAACAATATGGTGTATGCTGAATACCTGCTCTCATCCTCCAAGTCTGGGAATCTGGGTATGTGCTCAGAGAGGGCTGCAGTCCCCAGTTAAAACCCTTGGCACTGAGTCTGTAAGAAGCTTCCCTGTTTGGCAGGATTTCATACGTGTTCTCCTAATTTATTGCTGGAGGAAATGAGTCCCAAGTGACATCACTAGAGAGGACTCTGGAAGCTTGTGTCTCATCTTCCCCAGATTTCAACCCCTTTTCTGATCTTGCTGTCTAGCCTTTCACTGTAATAAATCAGGTGAGTGTGCCTAGATGCTAAGTCCTCCTAGCAAGTCATAGATTCTGGGCTTAGCCTTAAGGACCCATGAAAAATTACTCACTCTCAAAATGGGGATACTTCTTACTTGCTAAAGTTTTTTATCTGTCTCAGATAGAATTAATATATCATCAAATTCTCCTTTAAAAAGTGTCCAACTGAGTGTTTTTAGCATACTCACAAGGTTATACACCTATAACCACAGTCTAATTCCAAAACATTTTCAAGATACCCCAAAAGAAACCTTTATTCACTAAGGAGCCCTCCCTCTTTCTTCCTTCTGCTAGTCCCTGATAACCATCTACTTTTTATCTCCATGGATTTGCCTATTTTGAACACTTCATATAAGTGGAATCATAATTTATAGTTTTTGTATGTGCCTTCCTTAACTTAGCATAATGTTTTCGAGGTTCATCTGTCTTGTAGCACTGTCAGTACTCCATTCCTTTTCATAGCTGAACAATATTCAACTTTACAGATATACCATGTTTTGTTTATCCATTCACCAGCTGAAGGAAATTTGAGCTGTTTCCACTTTGTGGCTACTATGAAAAATGTTGCAAAAGTATTTGCATGCAAGTGTTTGTGTGAACATAGGTTTTTAATTTCCTTGGTTCTGTAACTATGATAAGAATTGCTGAGTCATATGATAACTCCATGCTTAACTTTTTTAGGAACTCTCAGCCTGTATTCCACAAAGCTACACTATTTTACATCCCCACCAACAATATATGATTGGTCCAGTTTCTATATACCTTCAATCAACATTTGTTATTTCCCCTCTTTAAACAGTTTTAGCTATCCTAATGGGTGGGAAGTGCTATCCCATTGTGATTTGGAGTAGTATTTCCCTAATGAGTAATGGCAATGAACATCTCGTGGCATGATTACTGGCTTCTTCTGTATCTTCTTTATAGAAATACAACCATTTGGAAGCAGCTATGACTAGGTAGACTTTTATGTCATTTATAGGTCATTTCACTGAATACTGTATAGTGTATTTTGGGAATGGAAACCAGATGTTGCTCATGTGCAAATAAAAGAACACCAACTCTCAATAGCTTTGATATGATGGTTTGATCTGATCTGGTAAAGGAAGGGCTTTTATAGTCTGGTCCAGTGTTTGTCAGACTTCAATGTTGAGGTCAGCTGGGGCCTGAGAGCTGGCCCTCCTACAAAGCTCCCAGGTGATGCTGTGATTGCTGATCCATAGGCTGCCTTTTGAGTAGCAAGGCTCTAGTCATTCATTCAGCTTTTATTCTGTGCCAATCATTGTATTTGCCTTATTTAAACTATTATCTCATTTAATCCTCAAGACAATTTAAATAAATAACTCCATTTTATAGATGAGCAAACAGGCTTAGAGAAGTTAATTAACTTACCCCAAATGGTAAAAGCTAGTGAGTGCCACAACTGGTTATGGGACCCCAGATACTGTGGTCTACAGGCTACTTTGCCAAACCGTCTCTTAAGAAAAGTCTAGTAACCACCACAGCTCATCAAGTGGCTTTTTTTCTCTAACGAACATGCTCTCAGTCATTACATAATTCACTTACCTCTGTGAGAAATATAGCAACAGCAAAACATTGGTCGGTTAAAATTGTTATTAACCGTTGAAGACATTTCATAAAGCCAGCAAATAGGAGGAAAAATACAAAAATTCACGAATAAATCCCAGGCTGACCAACACCACTTTAGGGCTTTTCCTCGGTGTCACCAGCTTGGTCTCTTTTACCTGAGTCACTGGCCTGCTCAGAGAACATGAACGTACTTCTGCTTCTGGCTAAAGAAGCCTGTGTGGGTGTCAATAGTCGCATAACAAGAAAGCTTTCCATGGGACTAAGGTGTGTGCGATGAGCTGAGGAATGGAATCAAATGAAAAGTTTAAAAAGCAAAATCAAAATAAAACAAAATAACATGTTTAAACAACACAGTACATGATGCAAATGAAATTCTGGGTGGCAGAACAAATGTGGAAAATAAAAATATTCTAATAAAAGAATGGTTTTGGAGTTTGTCATAAAATGCAACAAATGATGGGTCATTTAGAGTTTGGGGGCATGCATTAATTCTCTTGGGGTGCCAGAACTCATTCAATATGTTATTATGTATACTGACCTGCATCACTCAAGAGAATTAGCCCACTTCCTAAAGTGTTAGTATGGACTCATTTACTCGCCAAATAGATCTAACATTGGAAAAAAAAGGACTATACCTATAAAAACACTCATTTTAGGTTCTCTGTTAATAAATATTTCTCTTTTTTTTTTAAAATAAGCATTTATTAGTTGACTACTTTTGATTTTTTTGTTTTTTGCGGTACCAGGGATTGAACTCAGGACCTTGTGTTTGCAAGGCAGGCACAGTGCCACTGAGCTACATCCCCAGCCCTAATAAATATTTCTTAACACTGCTTTTTTAAAAAAATAAAATATGTCATTCTATAGTAGTTTAAAATAGATCCTTTCGGGCCGGGGATTTAGCTCAGTGGTTCTTCTGCCTGCCTCACAAGCACAAGGACCCGAGTTCGATCTCCGGTACAAAAAAAAAAAATAGATCCTTTCATATTTTCTGTGTAAATAAGGGGAAAAAATAAAATAAACACAAAAGTAATAACAGCCAACTGATTATCAGCCTCAATGGAAGATAACAGGATTCATAATCTAAAATTAAATGAGCAAAACATTTTTGATGGTTTAGGAACATATTTATATGGCAACCAACAGAAAGACTTACTTTCTATTCTTTGGGTGCCTATTAACTAATAAATGGTTTGGGGATTAAATTTTTGGAATTTATAATCTACAAGCAGATAATTCAGTTATCAAGAATATATAATAACATACTTCACATATGTTTATATGTTAAACAATGCAAAAGTGAATTTAACACCAAACTGGAACCATAAGAATTAGTGAAAACACATGGAATACACTCACTAATAGAACAGCTTCCTAAAGAGGGTGCAGGTGTTTCTTCACCCAACTCTTAATTCCTTCCATGTTCCTGGAGCTTTCTCATGAACTGCAGCAGAAATCAGCATTCTGACACTCACAGGGACTCTGACACACATGCCATGCCTCTGGGATGGAGAGGGAGGGCAACACCAGCAAACAACAACTAGGAAGGAACAGCAGCCTCTTCCAAGTCACAAACATCCTCCTACTCACCCCTAGGGGATAACTTGACATGCTAATACTCCATTGGCACCTGACTCCTTCAGGTGTCAATGCTTTAAAATATACATTTATAACACGGAGAGCCTTCCCTTCCTTAGCTTCCATACTGTGAAAGGTATAAATTCAGGATTCCAATGACTCATCTGAGCCTCCACTAAAATATGGATGGCATTAAATCAATGCAGGTTCTAGAATTGGCATGTGGCCTATATATCACCTTCCAACTCAAAACTATACCTGAAAAGGCTGCCCTCCTTTCCCCCTTTTAGAGGTCTTGTATTACTTCTGTGTTTCTGTTTTCATCTATGAAGTAGACAGGTTTATAAACCATGTAGGAATGCAGAACCCCATTTTTTTCACATAGCGAGTCTCCCAGGTAACTCTGACGATCAATTCTATTCTTTCTGGCTAACCAACTGCAACCCATCCCTGACTGGGCAAGTACGTTTTTTAACTCCTACATATGTACTGTGAAAAGCCAAACAGTTTCTTTCAGACTGGGAGAATATCAATTCCTGTTCCTATTCAACAACAATCTGGATCTAGGGCAGTGGTGGTGAACCTGTGGCATGTGTGCCGCAGCAGGCTGTTTGTATCATTGAAAGCTCTAAAAGGTTCACCATCACTGATCTAGGGTAATGCCACTCTTCAACATCCCATTAGCAAGGCCCTAGGATGCCTACATTCAGACCACGAGGCTGAGAGGATGGTGGTATCTGCAGAAGGCTCAAGAGGGGGGCTCTCGCAAAGGCCAATGTTAAGATGCTCACACCAGAAAGAAGCACACTGGAAAGACCAAGTCTACAGGTTCACTTGCCTCGGTCAGGGGAACAGGATATTGCCACGGTAGATGAAGACAGGCGTTTACTCATAGGAGGCTCCGGCTGCTTTGGCAAATTCATAGTTGATGTTGAAAGTTTGTCACATGCTGCAGAGAAATGCATTAAAGACATTGGTATTCAACCACCATAGACCAGGAAACACATATCCTAAAGTCTCCTTCCTGTCCTCATCCACACACCTCTTACACCGCTGTGGAACAGTACATTCTGCTTTCTTCATCTTGGTATCTCATTATCCTAATCTAGAAATGTCCAGGTTACAGCAGCCACTGGTCTGAAATGTTTTAATTATGTTCCTCTCTTAAACTTCAAATATTCAACCTTATTCAAACGCTCAACTAAAGCCATGCTAATTCCACATAATTTTCTTGTGTCTGGGAATTTTTAAAAGTATTAACACTTTACAAAAACCTGGATCCAGAGACAAATCCCTCCTGAAAATATTTTATGGTTCAACTGGGACTGTGTACAGTGAAAATGAACTTTTCCTGAAGGTTATCTGTGGCTCAGGTTGGAGAAAAATGCAATTTGTAAAGCAAGGAGCTGTATTTAAAGTGGAATGACCTTTAGCAGTTTTTTTTCTTCCTCTTATTAAGAGATGGAGTCAAGGTTGGGCCTTTCACAAATGCTTTAGCAATTTATGGTTAAGATTTTAAAGTGATAAACAATGCGAGTATTAAACAAAATACACAATCAAAAAAAAAGATTTTAAAGTGACTCTAGGTTTTATGTTGTAATATTCCAGTCATTATTTCAAACTGGTTTCTAAATTAAATCATTATGGCCAAAACAAGGAATCAAACTCATCAGTAAGGTTTTCAAAAGCTAACTCTTCTGCTTATCTTGTTTTCAATGAGAGAACTGCCATGTCTGATAATTTCTGCTGACCAAATGACAGTTTAAAGCTGAAGTCAAAGTCTAATAAATTTGAATTGGGGATATATCAAATATTTAAACTTGAAATGATATTTTAATAGTCCTACTTTTAAATTTTTCATTATTTTAAAACTACTTTAATGTCTTGGGAATATATATAACCATTAGAAATGATATAATATATAGGGGTATATATTTTTCCTTTTGCCTCAGGCTCTGCTGTTGCTCAGTATGGCACTGGGGTTCAGAAATTCAATATTTTGCTTCTAATGGCCTGTTCTGTATTAATTTTGACTTTGTAAACATCCCATTAGAGTATTTTATCTTCATTATTGAGATTTCTGACACCCCCATAAACTGTGTGCCCAGATCAGATATCACATTCACCTCTTCAGGGCCCCAGGTACTGATTCCTAGTGGGTGATTAATCCACTTTATGTGCACCCCTGTGAGGAAAGGCCACTTCCACACTATAGGTAGTAACTCTGTCTGTGCAGCAAAATTTGTGTACCATGGGGCTGGGGATTTAGCTCAGTGGTTCTGCTGCCTGCCTTGCAAGTGCAAGGACCGGAGTTCGATCCCTGGTACCAAAAAAAAAAAATTTGTGTACCACCAATAAAAATATTCCTTGTCAAAGGAATGCCAGAAACCAAGGATATTTATTCCTATTGCAAATACAACCTTTCATATTGCTGATAAATGTTGCATCCCCTTTATATCTTGTTTTAGTTTTGCTAGCCAGGGTTGAATTTCTAAAGTCACTTTTACATGGGAAAGTTTTGCTAGTTTTGTTCTTGATCTACACCATAATAATTTTCCAGGTTTGTATCCACAACAGCAAACAGATGAAATCAAGCACAAAGCTGAGTTATCTCATTATACAGATTTCCAGTGTTAGTACTGATAAACTCCCTACCACTTCCTCTCAGACATTTCTCCCAGAATCCAACTGCATTAACACTAAGCCCACGTATTCCATTCAGAACTTTGTATGATTTTTTTCTCACCAGAAGTGTTTCGAATGCTCTACTATTTAATGCCTAAAACAGATGATTCATGAGATGGCTAAAAATCTACATGCACAGAAACATTGACAAAATTTTGAAGGCAGAAGTTGGTGAGCTGAGGACGAAATGTCTCCAGGACACTAAGATTTAAGGCATGCAGAGATTCATGATGACAGAGGAACAAAGAAATATGCGCATGTCACTCACATCTCTAGAAAAAAAGTTATAATAGATCAGACTAAGAAATCAAATGTGAAAGTGCTTGAAACAGACAGTGATGGAGGAGGGTGATCAAAACAATTATCACAAAATGCTATGGCACAGTGATATTCAGATTATACCGTTGGTGGACTCAGCAGCGGCGGAAGTGGTCCCTGCATCCGGAGGGAGGGTGGTGGCTGCTAAACCTAGAGGGGGTGGGGTATTTTCTGATTCACCTATACAACAAAAAATCAGAGCAAAGAGAGGTAAAAGAAAAAAGTCCCAATTTGTTATTGTGTTTGAGTTTCTACTTAGGAAATTAGAAAAGTAACAAATGGTTTGTTTTCTTCTCAAGAAAGAAAAAATTAAAGTATGTTCACTGCCAAAAGGTTAAAAGCCCAATACAGCAAAGTCAAGTAGCTATACTATGTCTGCTCTCAGAAAGGGCTACTACCCAACTCCTGCCCTAATAGAATGCTGAGAGCTGAAGTGTGACACTGAAAAGAGGGAAAGTCACCCTGAGGCTAACAATCCATATATTAAACACTTGAAAACTGAAAGATGAGTATGAACTGGATAATGAAATAAGTCACCTTGAAACAAAATCGAAAGAGCAACAAAAATTCATAACAAGGAAGGAAAAAGCCCAGACCTTCTTAGAGGATAACAGCTGCTCTGTTTCCCAGTCAGTCACGTCTGGAGCTGTGACTGAGTCTCCTGCCTTTTCCCTTCCCTGAAATCAGATTACCCTTACACCTGACCGCTGAGTCTGGCTAGCCAGATTCTGCGTTCATTTTCCTTGCTTTTCTTTTTGCTCTCAGTCAAAATTCAGTTAGATCATCAACTGCGGCCTGCTAGTAAGAATGCACAGCTCCTCTTCATGAGAAGTGTGCAGACAGGAAGCTTGGCAGTTTCAAATATCAGATCTGAAAAGGGTACCTGTAAGGCTATCTGCAGCATCCCCCAGATCCTGCAGACACCCAGCTGTGGCCATGATCCCTCAGGGCCCTGCAAGGCAGGGACAGCCCTATACTCACCATCGCGTCCTCCGGGCCCTGCAGGCAGTGATGTTCCCCAGGAACACTTCTTCTTCAGCTCCAGCTGCTGTGAGCGCTCCAGGGACCTGCGCATCATCGCTTCTAGCCGTTCCTGCCCAGTTCATGCAAAGCATTGGGTGTCACCAGAGAACACGATCAAGCACCCAGGTCCACTACACTGCTGTCTCAGGGCTCTCTGGGTGAGTCACCAAATGGGCTTTCTGGGCTCACCATCCCAAACCCAGGTGCTCTCTGCAATACTAGCCAGGTTCTTGGTGGGTGGAGAGTAAACAATGCGGCTAGGCTAGCACTGGCTCTGCCCTCCAACTGAACACAGTGTCCTGTCCCCTCCCTCCCCCCTTCCCTAGGGAGAAGCTGCTGCTATGCCAGCCCTTGATTTGTTTAAGAATAATGCCCAACAAGCATTAACTCCTTGAGGCCTGTCTCAAGCCCCATTTTGCTCCATCCAGTAAGAGGACTTCTCCACAACCAATTGCAGTCTTTCTAATTTTAAGGATAAAACATTCTGCTTTGAGAAAATTTAAATCAAGTTGTAATTTGAGTTCTTGTATCCTTAAATATAGCTTTTTGGGGTGATACATGGCTTTGAGATATATTTTGCAAAGCCCCGTTTTCACCTTAAAACTTAACGGAGAATCAATTGTTTTACATTATAACACTTTTCTACTAATAGTACTCTAGAGATAATATTGCTCAGTTCAAAATTTAAAAGAGACAGGAGCACAGAACCTTCTGGCCACGAAATAAAGCATTCAGGTATTCCCAGAGTTAGGCAGGTTTGGGGTGGGGGAAGAATAAGCAATTTTTAACCAGAAAAGAAAAACAACCAGCAAGTTTCTTTCTTAAAAGAGGAGAAGCACTCCCCTGTAATAACCAAGCTTACTTTCATAAAGCTGTCCTTGACAGTGGAGCGAGGGCAGTCTAATTCTGTACCCCCCACCACCTCAATGACACTGCAAATTCTAGCTCCTCTCCCTGCCTCCACCTGAGAAGGAACAAAACAAGGCTGACACCCTTTAGCCCTCATTAAACCCAATTTGGAGGCATTGCGGGAACTGAGCTGAATACTCTCTGACTCCATATCGCAAAGAGATGCATTATTTTTCACTGTCTAATAAAACAGAACCATGCAAAAATAATTCAGGACAGTAAAACTTGAGTAACCATGACTTAAGCAACACAAAAAGGCTCTTTTATTTCACTTACTAGAAACATATAAAGGCCACTTAGCAAGTACCTGGATGTATTCCTTTTGTTTACCCTAGAAGGATGAGATTTTCTTCTACAAATCTCAGCCTTCTCTGTATAATTTTTCTCTGAACAACACTTTGCTAACTTTTGCTAAGAGATTTTTCCAGGGATCTTTGAGCAGAGAGGGGGATATCTTTTCCTGTTGTAAGACTCAGATTTGTACTTGCTATAATTTGTGGTTTAGTTTTGGGCCAGAAACTCAACAATCATGAGTATGCATTTCCTGCTTGTCCCATCTTCATGATCCTTGGACATTAAATTCTGATACCCAATACTGATGGTCTGCCAGATACTGGTGGGGCCTGAAGGGAACAGATCTCCTCTACCATTTGATACCTGAAATTAGGGTCATGGAGGTGGGCTGAATAGTATTTCATTATACAGATTTAACATAAAGTATTTAACCAATGACCTAATTTAAGTGTTGAAACCTTTCACCCTAGAATGAATTTTGTTTTGGGTGGTTTATGGTAGATTTCCTACATGCCAGACAGACTTCACATGATAGTCTCTCATCGGATCAATGGAACAGAATAGAAGGTGCAGAAACAACCCCAAGCACATTTAACTATTTGATCTTTGACAAAGGACCTAAAAACACACTGGAGGGAAGAGAGCCTCTTTAATAAATGGTGCTGGGAAAACTGGCTATCTACATGCATAAGACTGAATCTAAACCCATAGCTCTAATCATGTACTAACCTAAAATAAAAATGGATCAAAGAACTGAATGTTAGAAACAACCTGTTGGAAGATAAAATGAATAAAACTCTTGAAATCGTAGGCATAGGCAAGGATTTTCTGAACAGAATCACAGTTCTCAGGAAACAGTACCAATAATCAACAAATAGAATCATATCAAATTACAAAAGCTTCTGTTCAGCAAAAGAACCAACCACAGAATGAAAAGAAAACCCACAGAGTGGAAAAAAATTTTGCCAGCTACTCTTCAGACAGAGGACTAATGTCTAGAGTATATAGAGGACTCAAAAAAATTAAAGACCCAATCAAAAAATGGGCAAGTGGGCTGGGGATTTAGCTCAGTGGTTCCACCATGTGCTTCATAAGCGCATGGTTGTGAGTTTGATCCCAGGTACCAAAAAAAAGCAAAAAAAAAAAAAAAGGGGGTAAGTGAAATGAATACACATTTCATGGAAGTACAGATGGCCAATCAGTACATGAACAAAATGCTCAACATCACTGGCCATTAGAGAAATGCAAATTAAAACAACACTAAGATTCCATCTTACTCCAGAAAGAATGTCCATCATCAAGAAATTAAATAATAACAAATACTGGTGAGGCTTCAGGGGGAAAAGGAACCCTTCTACATTGTTAGTGAGAAGAAAAAGTGGTATAGCCTTTATGGAAATCAATACAGAGAGTCCTAAAAACACTAAAATTAGAAATTCCATTCAACCCAGCTATTCCCCTCCTAGGTATCTTCCCGAAAGAGTTAAAGACATCATGTTACAGTGACAGATGCATACCCATGTTTATAGCAGCACAATTCAAAGTAGTTAAATCTTGGAAGTGGATTATATGTCCATAAACAGATAAATGGATAAAGAAACTATGGTATTTACACATGACAGAGTATCACTTTACCATAAAGATAAGCTGGAGTTATTTGTAGGAAAATGGCTGCACCTTGAGACTATAATATTAAGTAAAATACATCAGACACACAAGCTTAAATATCACATGGTTTCTCTTATATGAGAACCCTAAATTATAAATAAAGAGCAAAATAGAATATAGATAATAGGAAGTAGGGAGATAGATCTTTCTCCAATGGGAAGGGGGTCAAGAGATGGAGGGAGGGAGAAGGAGGGAAGGCAGAGAGGATAAAAAAACAGATGTGTTCTGTACATGCACCAACTTCACACAAGGAATGTAAATGTTATGTACTACAAACATGGAGTAATAAAAAAGAAAAGAAAGACAGCCCTTCATTTAGTAGAGGCCCAGTGAGAACAAAAAACAGAGTCTCACTGAGCCAGCCTACCAATGAGCAGCTGCCTAGGGGACAGAATTACACAGTAATACTCACCTAAAGAAGACCTACCCCTGGACTGTTCAATTACCTTTACAAAAAACCATGCCATTCACCCTCTATCCAATGTGGTGCTCCAAATTCCATCGCTGGAGATTTGACCCTTTGGATTCTGAATAGGTTTATGAAAATGTAGCTCTCCCCCAAGAAAAAGACAAAGGTAGGAGGAAGAAAAACAGGTAATTACCAAATTCTAAAAGAAGGGGACTTCTGGAACCCAAAGAAGACAAAATGGGGTGACTGAAACATGCCAAAAACAAAACTTGCTCACTGCATTCTTGTCCTATATAGGTAGGTATTACCTGGTGTTTGTACTTTTCTGGTCCTTCATGTGATGAAATGTAAAGAATCCCTAGATCTGGAGTCAGGAGGTAAGTATGCAAATCCCACCTCTGCCTATCAGGTTTGAGCCCTGTGGCCCTGAGTTAATCATTTTACATCCTTAGGCTTTAATTCCCTCAACTATAAAATGATGATGATATTACCTAAATCATCAGATACATAACTCTAATTCTACAGAGTTAATGACAGCCTAGGACCTGAGGTGATAAGTCTGATTTTGAAGAGGAGGATAGTTAACAGGACAGTTTAGAACAGTGGTTCTTAAAACTTGAGTGTGGATACATCAGAATCCCCTGTAGAGTTTGTTAAAACACAGATTGTTGGGGTGTATCTCCAGGGTTTTTGAGTAAGCCTGGGGTGGAGCCTGCTGAGAATTTGGATTTCTTTTTTTTTTTGGTCCTGGGGATTGAACTCAGGACCTTGCGCTTGGGAGGCAGGAGGCGGAACCACTGAGCTAAATCCCAGGCCCCGAATTTGCATTTCTAATGAGTTCCCAGGTGCTGATGGTACTGGGACCAAACAGTGAGAGTCACTGGTTAGAGGAAAGGCTGAGCGTGAAAAAGCAGCGGAGAGAAAGTCAGTCACATCAGAAAAACAGTATAATAAATATTAGGACCGCATACTGCATACTGAAGTTCCTGCCAAGTCTTCACTCTCCTGAGTATCATCTGATGATCTACAGAGGATGGGGAAAGAGGAAAGCAAATTCTTGTTCCTAGAATATCTTTTACTGGGTGGGGCTTAGTAAAAGGAACAGACAAGGAAGGTTTTACTCGTTTTTTTTTTTTTTTTTTTGGTAACGTGGATCAAACTCCGGTCCTTGCGCTTGCGAGGCAGGCAGCAGTACCGCTAAGCCTTAGCCCCGGTCAAATGAAGGTTTTACTCTTGATCTCTTGAGCTCTGGCTCTAGACCTGACTGAATTAACCTGGAGAATCATGAACAAGGTGACCCACTGAGCTGGCCGAGCACTACAAAAGTCCTCTAGCTGGCATGGCCCAGACACTGTTACCTAGGGAGTGCAGTGTGGCAGGAGGCGGGGTGTGTCTTTTCCACTGCTTTTATTATATGTGACACAGCAGGTACAAGCTCCCGATTGTCCTCAGCAGGGAACCAAAGGGGGCCTTTTCCTTCAGAAAGAGACCTCTGCATCTGGCCAAGTGGTTGGCATGGTGCCTCACCCAGCTAAGGCCCACTGAGAGCAGTCAGCCTTCAGCTGAGTGAAGTTTTTATTTAGGTGAGTTCAGAAATTTCTTGTTTGATACTCAAGTTGGTGGCTTTTGTTAGCTATCGAACAATGAGGGTATGAACAGTTTAGATGAGTCAAACTAACTTAAATAAATGAAGGTACTCCTTTAAAGAGACCTTTCTTGGTTATCTGTTTAGCACAAGAACACAGAGTTGCCTTCTCCAAATCTCATCTTCCAGGCCACTGGTCAGGATGCTACATTCCCAAGTGGAGAATAGACTGTCAGCCCTAACTCAGATGACAGGAGCTTGTTTCAGCAGCTGCTTCTGGAGTTCTGTGGCATGTGACCTTAAGGAGAAGGTGGTCTCCAGCAAGAGGATGAGTTCAAGGTCATAGTCTCAAGTGGATACTGAACTTCCCCATCTGCAGGATAGGCCTGACACTACCCGCCACTATTGCCAACTCTTGAGACCTCTGGGAGCAAGACTGTTCATTCTGCCTTGCAGATGAGGGAATGTCACGTCAGATGTTTCATCCTGATGCAACTAAGTCTTTAGTGGTTTCACTTCTGGATAATTTTCTATTTGCTTCTGTCCTTTCTTGTTCCCCTAATGTGGTGGTTGTGGAAGGACATGCTGAGATACCAAAAATGTCATCATGATAATCAAAGGCACATGAAGTGAGAGCAGAGCAGGGTGAAGGGTCAACAGGTCTCATAGGATCTCCTAAATATTAGACCTGGAAAGGTAGGATGTGGGCAATCCAAACATTTTCCAACTAGCTAGAGAAGCAAAATGGCCTGCACAAGATGAACAATCTTCTCACTGAGGCTTTTTCCTGGTTGATGGTGACAAAAACTACTTAAATCTGGCACTAAGAAGAGAATTAAGAATCTCCACAGCCAGGCACCGAGCATGCAGCAGCCCTGGCAGAGCTCTCCAAGAACCATGGGAGTGAATGCTGAGGGCTTTCTTTTTTTTTTCCCCATTAAGTTTATTGGTACATTTCAGGTATAAATACAGTTACATTCATCATTGGGATCTTGTACCATTACATGAGTATCTTGGTTCTTATTTCTTTTCCACTTCCCCTGCCCTCCCTTCACCCCCTCCATCCTTACCTATTTGCAAAGACTTTGTTTCCATTTTTTTCCTTTTCTCTAGTTTTTCTTTTCCCTTTTTTCCTTTCCTCTACCCCTCCCACTTGCCCTGCTCCTTCAGACCTTTTCTTCCTATTACACAATATCAATTATACATTTTTAAAATTATAATATCAAGATCTAGGAGATATTACCACAGATTTTATAGATTTAAAAGGATATAGAAAGCATATTACAAAAATCTTTTTTTTTCTTTTTTTACTTTTTAAAATGTTTATTTGCATTGAAAAGAAACTGTTGACAAAGAATAATGGGAAATAATCTTGAACTAGTGGAAAAAAGAGTCAACACTACTGAAACACATTTTTTTTCAACTGAAAACCTCTTAGATGTTGTCACTGACATCAATGAAAAAACTGACGACTTCTTACTTTTTCTAAGCACATGGCGATATAATGAACAATATTCATCACCTCTGTTCTTTCCTGAATATACAAAAATTAAAATACCAATTAAAAAACTAATATTTTTCTCTTTAAACATTTCTCACAGATACAATTTCAATATTCTCACTTAATAGTGGTATAATTTATGAGACTTTTTTCTATTCACAAGTTAAGCAATCCACCCAAAGGGAACTGATAGTCCATAGGGTCACAGTGCAAATAAAAAGTTCAGGAATGCAGCAACTGACATTTCTAAAATACAAAATAGATAAAAATTCTTAGAAGGTTCATGCAAAAAGCTTTGCTAAGCAGATGGTCACAAAACTAGAACATCTGATAATTCTGCTGGCGATATCAATAGGACTCCCAATGTTTCTTGACAACTTGAACTCTCATCTTAGGCTTTGTATTTGGCTTTTCCAGTTTCACTAATGACATAAACATGATTCAAATCCCAGAAGTATTCATTATAGTCAAGGGCATAGCCAACAACAAACTTGTCTGGAATTTCAAACCCAACAAAGTCTGGCCTATATCCAATACTTCGAGGGGTCCTTTTCACCAGCAAGCTTGCGACCTTGACCATCTTTGGATTATACTGCTTGACCAAGGAAAGCAACGTTTGCATTATTTTGCCAGTGTCAATTATATCCTCAACAATCAAGACATTCTTTCCAGTTAAAGTTGAGAGATCATCTCTTCCAATGACCTTTATGTCCCCTGTTGACTGATCATTACAGTAGCTCTTGAGTCTGATAAAATCTACAGTCATAGGAATGGATTTATCACAATTTCTATTCAGTGCTTTAATGTAATCCAGCAGGTCAGCAAAGAATTTATAGCCTCCCACGACACTGGGGCTGCGAGCCGCCTTAACGGAGCCGGCTGGCGCGCGGGCTGGTGGCAGTCTGCCGCAAAAATCTTTTTTGAAATAAATTTGACAACTTCTAAGAAGTACCTTGGAAGACAAATTAATGAAACTAACTCTGGAGGAAATATAAAATTTGAATAGCACCTATTAAAGAAAGTATATTCCTATCTTGAAAACCTACCTATATGACAACAGCAGGATCACATACATTTTAACTGATAAATTATATCAAACATTTAAAGCAGAAAAAAGAAGGAACACTTCTCCATGAGGGCTTTCTTTGGAGAGGGGCTTCTGCAGTGCAGACTCATCCCTCCCTAAAGATCAACCATGACAACACCAAATGAGCCTCTGTATTAGAAGTGAACCAACACGGATGTGCTTAACTGGCCAGCTTGGATGTGGCAAGTCCCTAAGCTACACCTCAGTCTCCTGGGGCAGTAAAGGTGGGAGAAGGTGGCAGAGGAAGGCTTCTGTTTCCTTGGGTTGCTATACAACCTTAGGAAGTCCGACTCTCAACCCAGCCCAGCCCCGCCCAGCCCAGCCCAGCCCAGCCCAGCCCAGCCCAGCCCAGCCCAGCCCAGCCCTGCTCTGCCCTGCCCTGCCCTGCCCTGCTTTGCTGTGCCATGCCTAGGAAGAAGAAAAAAGCAAGCTCAGCTTGTGTTTATACTGACAAGGGTCAGGCAGCATCCCTACCCCTGGCTTGCCATATTAGGGGTGCAAGAAAGCACAGAAGCAAATAGAAAATTATCTGGAAGTAAAACCATTAAGGATTCAGCTGCATCAGGACCAACCATCTGGCATGACATTTCCTCATCTGCAAGGAGGAGTTGTTTGATTGCCTAGTTTAACAAGCCTCCTGCATTAATGTTCTATAACGGAAAATTATACACAGGAATTATCTCAAAAGTGGACCCCTGTGACACTGTAGGATGTGTCAGAGCATGAGAAACATCTAATGTGGCACTTTATAGTAATCCTTCCTGGCAGCAGTAATGACAAACTTTCTCCTGAATCAGCAATCTCACAAGATGTCAGGAATCAAAATGGAGAGGGCAGGAAGGAAGGGAATGGACTATAAGTTGTTAAGAAATGGAAAATGGGCGAGTCCAGTGACTCCAGAGAAATACACAGGCTGAGAAAGGATAAATCTGTCCTAAATTACCAAATCAGCCTCTCACACTGAGGCTTTTTTTTATAGTCTATAGACTCTGCTGTAATCTCTCCTGGGTAGCTTCCTTCTGACCTTGCTTCAGCCAAAGTCAGTTTGAAGTAACTGGGAGGAATCTCATATTTCTGAGTGATTACTCTGTGCTAGGTGCTTTGCTGGGCATTTTCACAAAAGTCCCCTCCTTTAATTCCTGTAAGCATTTCTGTTTGGGGGCTCATCAGACAAGATAGAGAGATTATGTGACTTGCTCCTGGCTGCCAGCTTCTTAGAGGTAAAGATAGGATTTGAACTGAGAGCAGATGAAGCCACAGCCAGCAATGGTGAACCATGATGATGAAGAGCCTTGCTTAGACCTTCATTCCTTAAGAGGAACAAACAAATTGTAGTAAACAGGTGTTTTGTGGACAAAGATTGGTGTAATTGTGTGTGTTTGTGTGCATGTTAATATGTGCTTTTTAAATTAAAAAAGAGAAAGGGATAAATATATACAGTGATAAACAACCATTCAGTTTTTAAAAAATACTGAATTTATACAAAAGTATATCCTGTAGTGTTAGAGCAATATTGTTCATATTAAAACATGAGTCATTATACCTTATGAATAAAAAATGATTATCACCTGATACAAAGCTATGATTACATCCTTAAAATATACTTAAGGAAATCTATAACCCAAATATGCTTTCTAAATACATTTTTAAAGTTTTGTATTAACGGACTCTACAGAGATAATTGCATTCCACTTTTTTTTGTTTGCTTGTTTGTTTTTTGGTACCGGGGATCGAACTTGGGTCTTTGCGCTTTCGAGGCAGGCAGCGAACCACTGAGCTAAATCCCCGGCCCCCATCCCACTTTTTTTTTAAGGTTAACTAGAAAGAAAGGGTGATTAAAGCAAGGAACTCCATTAGTATTTCAGTATACTACCATCTCTGTATTTAAAAGTAGACTAATTTTCCAGCAGTGAATAACAGGACCATGTCATTCTCAACCCTCACAGCTTTCACTCCATCCTGGTGTCTGCCCTGGAGGTATGGACTCTGGCTGTAACACTCAGGTCTGTATCAGCCAGCCTCTACCCCAACCCCCCTGTAAGTCTAAATTTAGTCAGAAAAGGTTATGCCTGGAAGGGACTTTGGAGACCATCAAATCCAACCCCTCAGTGCAGAGACAAGCAAATTAAGTCCCAGAGAAGCCAACCGGCTTGCCCAGTCACACAGTAAAGTGGCACCTGATTTAAATGGATAAGTCTTTGTTCCTATGTCAGTGATGTTTCCTCTGGATTGGCAGTGCTGGAAGGAGGCACAGTGAGCCACTGGGAGAAAGTCAAGAAGCAGGTCTCTTCTGTACCCCTGGCTGGGCAGGATGCTCAGATACCCTAAGCACTATGCTGAGCTGACTGGAGTGGGGGCAGGGGCCCCAAGAACCTCACCTCCTCCTCCCGGAGTTTCTGCTTCCTCTTCTCTTCCACAGCAGCCCTCTTCTGGTCCTCCCGCTGCCGCTGTTCTTCCAGTTTTCGCCATCGCTCCTCAATTTGCTTTTCATACTGGAGCTTGGCTCTTTTCTGTTTTTCTAGGATCTGCTGTTCCCGGGCAGCTGGAGAAGGAAAGCAGAATAGAGGTGTCATCCAGAGCAACCCATCTGGTTTGGATTAAGACAAAAACACAGAGAGTGGAGACCAAAACAAGTCTGGTGAGATCCTTGGATATAATGATTGAGATCCAGGATTGTGGCACCTCTGACACTAGCTGGCTGACCCTGGGCATGTTAACCATGTAGTATCTCTGCCTCGGTTTCCTCCCCTGTGAAGTGTGGACAGTCGTGTTTACTACATCACAATATAGTAAAGACTAAATGAGACAGTGCACATAAAGTACAAACACAGTAAGTAACCCCACACACAAGAGCTATGACTTATTACTATCATTTAGTCATACTTTATATACAATGGCTAACCCATACACCCACTTGAGAAATTATAGTTTTAAGGGGACATTCTTTAAAAAGCATGTTAATGGTGCTCGTACCAAGCATCGGATATTGATATGGACAAAGGGTTAAAATACATGACTGAGACTGGTAATCCCACTGCAACGTTTACTAAGAGGCCCTTAACTCTACCTGACCAAAGGTTCCCTGGAGGAGATAGATGATGCCACAGCTGCCCGGTGGGTGGCCAAGCAAGGACCAGAAAGCTCCTTGTTTACCTCAGTTCAATGGGCAATCATAAGCTACCTACCTCATGACACCCTTAGAGAACACCCTGTTGTACTTATCTGTCTACAGCTCTCAAGAAGTAAGACAGCCTTTCTCAACTGGGGCATCCTGTTCTAAAATGATTTAAGTGCTGATTTTCTCAGTTCTCCCAAGGATAGCCCTTCTAGATGCTCAAAGGGGAAGCTGAATGAGTAAACACAGCAGACACCTAAGGGCATCAGGACTTGCCAAGGATTCTCTTTCTTCACCATCATGTCTGCAGCCCCTACCACGATGGCTAGGACACAGCACAGGTTCAGTGTTTGCTAAGTGAGGGAGTGGACTGTTCAGCAAATTATGCAGTGTTTATTAACATGCCAGCAGACCTGTGGGTTTACTCTCAATTCTTCATGTTTAACTTATAATTGTTTTAATTCTCTTCCCATTCATTCACATCGATTTCTACGGACATCTAGAAAGACACTACCCCATATCTCCACTTTCTTGGACCTAAACAGCCAAAGTGTACAACTCACCCAGACATTTTTCTCTTTCTTCTCGTCTCTCTTTGGCTAGTCTTTGCCTCTCATCTGATTTTAAAAATCCATCCATGCCTATAGAAGAGAAAACAAAATGATACTTAGTTTTTCACTCTTTCTCTATTTGCTGAACACTAGAGGCAGCTGGGCATACACCCTGGGTCTGGCCACTGGCATGTTAACCATTGCCATCACTTATCTAAAGGAAAGCCGATCTGGGCCGGGGATTTAGCTCAGTGGTTCCGGCGCCCGCCTTGCAAGCGCAAGGTCCTGAGTTCCATCCCTGGTACCAAAAAAAAAATAAATAAAGGAAAGCCGATCTATCACTCCCCAACACACATATGCAGCCAGGCCCCAACAGCTGAAAGGAAACAGCCACAGCTTCCATGTGCACCTGCAAAGTGGTACGGACATCAGCCCAAGAGGACACAGCCCTTTCTGTAGGCTTTTGTCACAGGCCTGACCCGGGAGAGGTCAAAGTTACGGTGAGTGACAGAGAGCAATGGCTATATGCAGAGAAGCTCACCAGGGCTCTTCTAGTCCAGCTCCCAGGCCTGAGGACAGGGACACTTGGGGGAGAAGAGAAGCACAAAAGTGCACATGGTTTTTGATACAGACTATTACACAGGTCGTGAACATTTTACTTTCTGAAAGGAGCCAAATGCTGAGGGACACATACAAGCTCTTCAGGGAGGGGGTCTTCTTTGGAGCCTCTGTGAAATTCCACACTCAAGTTTGATTTCAGTTCTGCCAAGTTTGCGTTGATGTCAATTTAGCATCTCAGAACCAAAGAAGAAAAGATATAATGTAATCCTGTATACTTATCTTTCAAATATCTACAATCAATAAGAGAACAAATGACAGCTCTCCCAGAAATGTCCAGGAAATATCCCTGGAGGCGTGCATCTCCACCTAATCCCTACAGGACCCTAAAGGGTTTTCTAAATTAAACTAAATGGATCTTCACAGTTGTTTTAAGGCTAGAAATAAATTATTACATTCTGTTACAACTGGTTGTTCGTACTAGCAACATAATGTTGAAGCACCCCCTTCCGAAGGAACTGGCTTCAGTGCTAATGCAACCATATTCACATCCCCAGCACATGGACCTTCCTCTCTGAGAGCATCACACTGGCTTCATAAGATGCCCTGCTGCCATGGAACCTGTGCTCCTTCCAGAGAGGATTTTGCCACCTGGTGTCCAGGAGAGAGGCCCAGAAGCCTGGCCTGCAGTGTAGGCAGTGGAAATGTGGCCGGAGAATGATGTGACAAACTCTGGGTTGTCACGGTTCCCCCCATGTTTCTAGTTTTGCAGGCTGTATTATATATCTGGGATACTAAAGCTCAAGAGAAAAGTACTAGAAAATCAACCTTGGACTACAAGTGCCATCTTCCATATTTCTTCAGTCAATTGTTAATTGTTTTGAGGTTACCATGGGTATGAATATCACCATGAATTTAAAGGCCAATTACTTACCTCATTCTAGGTCCCCATATGCTGACTCTAAACTCTCTTTCCAACATGACGGCACCACTGGCCTTTCTCCCGCATACCTTCTGGCTTGCACTGCTCCTTCTTCCATTACCTGCCTCCCTCATCACCTGTTAAAACCCCACAGTTCCCCAGACCCATGATATCCTGTGCCCCCACACAGTTTGCTAAGCCCTTATTTGATTCTCCTTTCCTGCAGAAATCTCTGCAACTCAGTCTCCCCTGGTAGGCCCTAGAGCCGTGTGTAACTGACATAGCCTTGGGTCTGCTCAACTCTGGCTTTAGAGCCCCTCACCTGGTAGCTCTGATATACAATGCTCCAAAGGCCAGCATGAAGTTAATGGCAGGGGAGCAGCGAGAGAAAATCAGGTTTCTACTACCTTGACCTCAAGACTTTCATTAGTATGAATTTGTTCTGTATGAAAATCTACTAAAGAAAAGCCTAGCGCTCCTGAACAGATGCTTCCCTCAGTATCCACACCAACCTGCCCACCCAAGCAGGACCTGAACCTTGCTCTGTACTGCCCTTGCCACCTTCTTGGTAGTAATGGGGCTGCCCCAGATCTAAGGTAATCTTGAGAACTGCTGAGAGGGGAGAGAGGGGAGAGGGGGAGAGCGGGGGAGAGAGGGGAAGGGAGGGAGGGGGGAGAGCCAAGAACATCAAACTGTCCACATCACCTTAAAGTTTTTTTACAAATTAATTTTATTGGTACATTTTAGGTATATAATATAATGACATTCATCATTGGGAATTTGCACCTTTACATAATCTCTCTTGGTTTTTATTTTTCCCCCTTCCCCTCCCCTCCCTTCAACCCCTCCATCCCTCCCTATTTACAAAGACTTTGTTTCCATT